TCAACGACAATGGGGGTTTGCGATGCTCTTGGTGGAACGATTATTTCGCCGTTTATTCGTACGTTATTATCGCGCAGATCGTGATTACGATACCGTAAACTCGCGTTACACCCGCATATCCTCTATTGCGTCTGCCGGGATTCCATTGTACGACCGCATTTCTCCTTTTTTAGCGTTCCATGCTTTTTGATGCGTATTGCGCCCGTCATTGCAACGCGTGTGCTTTTGTATTGTCGATGCTGACAAGACGTAATACCGAGATTTACTTCCACATAAATTGCCACATTTGCCACGTGCCGATCGCTAATGCTGCGTACAATTTTAATTACATGCGATGTCATATATAAATATCGATACGTTGCAATGTCTCTTCTTCTTTGCGTTGTGCATATATTTCATCAAAATGCTAATATTAGCTCGTGCTAGGCAAACTTAAATATATGATACTTACATGTAATCCACAGCCAGATGGAAAGCTTAAAAAGCAATCTCTACTTGTATATACATTTCGTTTTGATTACATCGAGTCGCCGAAGAAATTGCACGCGTGGCTTTAAATCGTCCCGTGTGTAATTTCGCGCGCTTATCTATTCAGTTGACATTTCTGAAACGTTGCTTTTAGAGATTCTCCGACTCCGATGAATCTTCCTGCAAAATCCGTGTGGGTAAATATATAGATCCTCGGAAGAGTCGCGATTTATATACGACTCTATGTATATTTATCACGGTAGATATGCAACTTTTTAAGTACTCGAGATATTAATTCCGATTGATCGTGTATCAAAGAGTAACAAAATATGCTGATCGCTTTCTATTACACATTCTCATTAATATATGACTCTATTAATTCTCAATATATACGCACAACATATATATGTAAAATTTCTTTATATCTATAGTCACATACACACACATACAGAGACCTGAGGTTGAAATATTATTTTTACTGACAGTAATGATAGTGAGAATTAAGTTTCTGTCTTTTTTTTCTCATAATTATCAACGAACACGCATCGAAGCGGAAATCCACGATATCCGAAATCCCGAAAAATATCCGTACTCTGAGGAAATTTCAGCTCATTAAGCTCACTGACTTTAGCTCGAAGCTACACCTGACGAACAGCTGTGTAACCGTCATAACTTCGTCACGGATCTTGATCATGGATAATTCACCCTTCTTTACGCCCTTTACAACGTATCATCTGTATCGCGTGTGTCTATGCACATAATATTCATAATAATAATCAGTAATATACAAGTAAAATCTGATATGTACCGGCTATTGTTTTAATCATAGATTTACTGCAACAATTGAAGCGATATTACCGTCGTATTTTTTTTCATAAAAATTGAAATTTTATAGGATTTTACACATCTGATACACATTGGAACATTTATTCATACATTTGTCATTTACAGCTAATTACGGTTGCGTTTACCTAACAACGTATATTTTGTGTATATTTCTTTTAAAGTTATTTAAATTTATATTTTTTTAAATAGAGTAAAATGTATAATATCTGTATGTATTACAAAAATATATAATCTATGAAAAAAATAAACTCACAAAAGAAGTAGATCTCTGTATTCTTAAATTTTAGCATTAATATGTAATACTATTTGGAAAAATATAAATATGTCAAAACATTATATTATTTATATTAAAAAGTCGTTTAAAATATAATATATTATTTATATTAAAAAATTTACAAATATATCCATGCAATATATAAAATTACTTTTATATTTAATCAAGAGCATAATAAAATATAAAATTTCAACTAAATTTTTTAACTTAAAAATTTAAAAATATTTAATGGTTACTCACGCACATTGTATAATTAATAAGTAAACAAAGATTTATCGAATAAAGTTTTAAAAGAGAACGGAAGTATTTGTATGCACATAGAAATCTAATAAAAGTTTCGCATCAATGCAAATTTTTCTAAAACCTATCTCTGAATAGAATCACAGGCGTGGTCGTTCATTTATTTGTGCTGCAACACTATTATTTTGAAAGCGATCCGCGACAGCGTGAAACGGCTTTGCGGCTGGTTGATCAAACTCATAAAGCTGTACGTGCCGTTGATGTGTAACATACGATCATTATCGTGTTTCTATTGATGTCTCCCCTGCGGGCTGTATTCTTACCATTACACACGCGTCAAGGTCGACTTGTTAGACGTGCTCGTAATTAGTTGCAGTTTCAGAACACTATGCGATATCTATTCCGGATTACACAAAGTAACAAAGAATACGCTGCATTCAATTCGTTAATAATGTATGACGCAAACAGCGGAACACAGAACTATATTAAAACAAATTGCATTATTATCGTGTAAATAAACTTGTATTTAAATTTCTGTGTAAATTATTAATTTATTAATTTAAACTGACGGAGAGCAAATATTTGAGTTTAGTTGCAGTCGTTTACGCGAAGTAAAATTTATTATGTTATTATATATTAAATTATTACGCATAATGTGTGTGTGTGTGTGTGTGTGTGTGTGTGTGTGTGTGTGATGTAACATGTTTATTTTATATTGTTCATATACTTTCTGATACATTGCTGTATTTCAGCGTAAGTTCCTTTTCATTGCTTTTTATTGGAAAATATATACGAACGATTGAATTTTTGCTTGAATTTTATATTAAAAGATTTCTTTTTTTCACATTTAAATCTTGTTTCACGCTTCATCTTCTTTACAATTGATTTTTCATCTATTAAAGTATCCAATAAATGATTTGCAGTTTCAATATAAAATGAATTTTATAGGTTTCTTGATAGAACGTACTTCAAAAGCTTTCATGCAAAAGGTTTCTTATTAAATTGAACAATAAGTTATATATAATAGAAGATATTAAATTATTAATTGTAAGTAATATTTATCTTAAAAGATTATTTATTAAAATGAACAAGCTACGCATAATGGAAAATATTAAATTACCAATTATAAGTAATATTTATCTATGGATTTTTTATTAATTTTGAATCAATTTTTATGAGAATTTAATTAACTATTTATTTATATTCATAACTTTTTATGTGCATATTTGAAACAGAGATTGAATATTTTGTAATTAAATATCAAATTAAAATTCTGTGTTAAAATAAAATTTATGCAAAGTTATTTTCCGCTTGTAATATTCATTTTCTAGAGAGTTTTTTATTTTTTCAATCGCTCATAAATTTAAAAGATTTTTATTTCGATTATTTTCACGTTACTTGATATCAAACACCAGCTGCTTATTTTCGAAGAAATAAAATTCACATTAATATCATCTTTTAATTGATTTATTTTTCACATAAAATTATTCCCAGTTGCTTCATCTAATTTTATGAAATAATAAATTTCTCATAATTGAAATTGCACATATCAGTACGATGTACAATCTGATCAATCTTTTTTCGGAATATTTTTACTTAAAATCACACAGTCTGATTAGATATCTGATTAGGCGTTGATTATAACAAGTCCCGTTCATGCAATGTGTCGTATGTTTGCGTTTATACACAAGCATACATGGAACACGTATATGAATTTCCGCCGTAGGCGGAGGAATGAACTTTCTCGCACATAACTTATGCAAATTAGTAGTCGGCCATTGTGCACGGTTGCTTAATACATTTGCGGATATCACTCGTAAAGCTTTGTTCAGAACGGTATCTTTAACATGTTTCCTCTAATAGGCTTTTCTGTATACTATAAGATCTTCCTTACGAGGCGCCAACGCGAACATGTACTTCGCATTGCATGTTGCTTAACTATATGTTTAATCTGTTTCCATTCTGAGTTAGCGTAAAAAATGGATGAAACACTTATTTTATTCCGAGAAAAGATAATAATATATCAATTGTAATTTTAACCTATTATGCAATTTTATATTTATGAAATAAGAATTATATAAAAGAGTTATGTTAAAAATTGTAAAATTATTTTACACAACTTTTAGCTTTATATATTTCTTCCGTTTAAATATATTTATGCAATCTTATTAATTTCTCTTTCGAATATGTAATCTTATTAATTTCTCTTTCGAACATAACTCTATGAATAAAAAACAAATATTATATGTATTATAATCACATATTGCCGTCACATGTACCTCTTTTATATCATTCTTACCTTTATATTTTCTATTATATTTTACATATCTATTGATGTTTTTATAATCTATCTGATAGATTATATGGATATAAAATAATATACAATAATGATCGCCATTACTGCTCATCTGAATCGGATTTAACGCTATCCAGCATGCATGAGTCGATTATAGTGCGTAGGTTGCACACAGCGAGATCAGCTTGGCGCCTCCAAACACTCGAACCGAGATCCGAACGTGGAGTTACGAGTAATCGAGGTCGTTAGGTTGAGATTGTTACGTGGGCCGTGTTACAATCGAGCTCGATAGCGAAGACTCGGATATTGGCAATGCGTGTTCCGCATCAAATCGATGTACCTCTTGTACGTCATCAATACACATTCCGTATTTACTCTACAAAGGCCAATTCTAGGAGATTGTGCGATTATCGCGTCTGTTTTGCATAAAATTACCGCCGGTTTGATCTTTTCAATCACATTCGAGAATATAACAACAATTATAAATTGCAATTAATGATAAATGCAGTTATGCCTCGTAATTATAAAAATAAATAAAAATTGATACTAATCATTTTCAAATTAGGAATGATTGAAAAAAAATGTTTTCACGATCTAAACTTTAGAGAGAGAAGCAAATAAATTGGAAACCACATTTCGTAGCTAATTTTAGATAGAATTTACTTTAACGTAATTTTAGTTCGAGATTAAATTAGAGATATGCGAAAGTTCGAGAGCTGCGATAAATGATCTTCCTCGATAGCTAAAAGACATAAATTTTAAATTAATCAAAAGAATCTCTACTATTAAAAATAAGACTGTATTATCGTAAAAAAGACAATAAAATCCAAAATTTCGTGCCCGAATTGATTCTTATAGCTACTCTTTCGATTACAGATGTCAACGTGATTGGACTAATTGAAAAGAGTCGTAAGAGATGCCGTAGTCGTCGCTATGAGCGAGAGCCGGTGCTACACGGATTCGCCCGTGCTCGCCGAACATCAGCCCTTCAACCGTAATGGGAAGGCGCTCAGGTACGATTACCATAAACGCAGGCCACAGTGTGCACTCTACCATCTACCTGCGAGCTTAATCGCCTGCGACAGGGCGAGCGTTGATCGAGCTATTGATTTATAGCTCATAATTGAAGAGTATAATTCGAAAGATCGCCAAGAGACCGCACGATGGTTACATCTATTTCGTTACTACGCAAACGAATTAAAAAACTTTGACATCGCAATTTCGCGGTTACTAGATATGTGTCACACATATCATATTTACCCTTTCTTCAAATAAAATTATTCGATAACATAACGACTATTATATTATTATTGCAAGAAATTATATTATTAAATTCATTTTTTTATTCAATAATTTTTCATATTTAATTTGAGGTACAATATAAAAAATATTATATATGTATTTTCTCTCTATTCTTTCATTTATCTTTTGTTACGTATTCTTCCGTTCTAAATATTTTATATAGAAACGATAATAACAATATATTATTGAATTATTCAATATATTAACAATATATTATTGGATTATTCCGCTACGTTTATTGTACCAAAACTTTTTTGAAATTATCATTATCGTAGCATTATCGGGCAATAGCATTGCGAGAAGATGTCCGATCAGATTATCGATCGAATTATGGTCCTCGACTAATCAGATTATACCGCGGAAGCCGAGCTCCCGTTCGTGTCTCATAAAGTGGACTTAACACTAAAGCACAGATCCTGCCCGCACCTCTTCTCATCGAAGGCATAACGAGGGTTGATTTCAGGGGATCTAAGAAGAGCGTGCTGTTTTATACGACCGATTGCGGAGACGAAAAAGAGGACTTAGGTCTCAAGCTTCAGCAACGATCCGTCTCGTTGGTAAGTCTCGCATTAACGTCAAATCTGTGCTGGATTATGCGTAACACTTGATTTTATATCAATATGCGGAAAAATCTGTCGATTAGTTCACAATGCACAATGTACGATTAAAGTTTTTATTTACGAATTTAATAAAAAAAAAAGAAAAATGAAAGAATATATAATGATTTGGATAAAAGTTTTGATAAACATTCGAATTTATATTGTCTTTTAAATAAAAAAAATTTAATGCAATTTTTTAATTAAATTAAAATTAATTTTCTACGTTAATTTGTATTAAATTATCATTATGTCAGTTTATGTTAAATTGTAATGAAAATTCATTTTTTATTATACTCTTATTTAATTCTACAACTGTTAATTTTAATATAATTTATGTGTTAATATATATTCGCACATTTATGTGATTAAAATCGCGGCAATTTTTTCTATTCGGATCTAAAGAGGTAACCGATTTCCATTAAGCCTGATGCTCTCTCACTGAATTATCCGGTCCCGTCATTATTCAATAGGGGGCTTAATGACGTGCGGCACCAAAACAATGCAGTATCGACGCTGAATCATATGAACCTTCGTATGAACTTCACGCACGCGGTACAAGATACAATAGCCTTGTTGAAGGCTTTATCTAGCGTATAATTTAGCCGCGACACGAATGCAACGTTATTTTTAAATTAAGCTATTGTTAATCAACTTTTATTTCGTATACAAAATTAATCTCTGATAAATTTCAAAATTAAAATATTTCAATTTTATATAAAAAAAGTTAAACCGATAATAATCTAGAAAATAAAATAAAGTACGAATCATGTATTTTGCAAAAAATACGAAATCTGTATATTTGTCTTCAATGAAAGCGGAAGAACCATTAGTAGATGGAAAAATCGATGATCATTATTCCTCGTCAAAGCGATAAAAGATAATCTCTCTTCGTCATTATTTCACGGTTACAATAAAATATAATAAACAAGTACAATTTAATGAATTATCGTTAATGATATCATTATTCCACCTTAGTACTTTTTCTAACTTATCTTTTTGCATTATTACTTTCATTATGACACATAAATAAGAGAGAAAACATTCTAGTCAGAACATTTTTAAAGTACTTTAATCACGCAATCACTGCAATATCGGAAATATCATAATCTCTATATATTATATATGTCATCTCTATATATTATTATTTAATATTATTCAAGTTTTTAAATCTTTTTGGAAAGAAAATTAAAAATTGGCTAATTTATTTACATGCATTAACGATATAAAATAGATTACTACCGCAAAAAAATAAGCAATTAATTTAGTAAATAAAAAATTAATTATTAATTAAATTATAAATGGCACTTACCTCCGATTGCTCCAGTGTCGCCAGTCTTCCCGCGCTCTTTTTCCTCCTCTCCCTCCTCCTCTTGCTCCTTTGTCCTCTCGTTGATGCTGTTGCTTCATGATATTCACACAATAATTATGAAAGCACAGTTAATAACGAATCGCCCGCGCACTAATCGATAATCGCGCGATACTGTACACGGCACTCCCGTAAAACATCGCACATGACACGCACTTTATTATATTATAACAATATTACAACAAAAAACGACGCCACGATCCGCTTAGTGTTTCAGAATCAGTGTAGCCAAACTCATTTTTTATTTTCAAGACGACAACATCACGTTTATCACTAACGATCACGATTAATATACGAATAGACTTGGACTAGGGAATCAATTTGTTCTGTATCTATATAACGCTTTGTTAATGACTGAAAACTTCGAAAATGATATCGATGAACTCATCTTGATTCTTTTATTATGAGAATTGAATAAATAACTGATGGTGAGATATGAGAGGCAATCTGAAAATATACAATATAAAATATATATAATAACTTATAATTTATTTCATTCGTAAAATCAATGTAGTTATTCTTACTTAAAACAAATTGTGCGTGAAATATGTGTCGTCATAAATAACGTTTCGAACACGTTTATGAACTTATTAATTGATAAACGTTAAATGTAATATTATATAGAAAAGACAGAGATGATAGAAACTGATTCGTGTTATTCTCTACTTATCGAGGAATAATGAGATAATAAATGGGTAGCGATTCACGTCTTCTACGCGCCCGTGTCACTGTACGAATGGCAAGGTCAGCGCGCGTATAACACATACCGTGAAGTACGTATCGAAATTCGTGACGTCACGCGCTGTTTATACGCCATTGTCGCCAGTGTTGCCATTTGTCGGACGAGATCGAGTGAAAAGGTAGCGTCGTTCCGTATATTGTCGTAGTAAAATCATATTTTAACTTTATTATTCGCGTAATATCGTGCAGTATCACAGTGAAACTCTTTCTCTTTCAAATTTTTCAATAAAGCATCGCGAATACGGAATAAATCGATTCTGATCGAGCAGTTTGTGTACTATTAATTAGCAACATTCGTTGTCATAGTAACTAATGCCGTTTCGCTATGTGATTTTTAAACATCGAGCGAATTGTAATTTTCGCGTAATTTAGTCACAATACATTATACATATTACGTGTGTAATTAATATCGGGAGTATCGCGCGATCGTAATTAATTGTTTGCGTGAGTGAATATATAAGTCTGAAGGAACAACACATTTAACAACAGCAGAGCAATCATAGGGTAAGCACAATTTATAATTGTTCTAATTTTTTATTCATCATAAATTAATTGCTCGTTTAGTCTGTAACCGTAAGGTTTAGCTAGCGAAATTTTGAATGTTTGAAATAAGTTGAAAATTTTGAAATAAATTTACATAAGTATGTGTGACCTTGGAAATAACATATATTTTTAATTCTAATTAAATAGAGTATGTCTTAAAGTTATAAAAAATTAAAGTTATAAAAATTAAGTTATATAAAAAATTAAGCTTGAAAACTACGCGATATAATCCATCACAAACATTCCGTAAGCACGCTGTATAATTTTTTTCCCGATAATATCATAGAATATACATTATAAATTATAATACATATTATAAATTATCATTCCTGTCATATCTCAACGACTTTATCGTATCACTAAGCATTTTCATATAGTTTTTATATAGATATTTTTATATATTTTTATATTTTTTCCATTATATCATCATTGTTTTTTCTTATTATTTCATACGCTCTTTTTTTGTTTTCTAAGAACTCTTTTATTTTTCAATTTACAAATTAATTAAAAGTACGCGATCAATTTTTAATTGCATTAAATATATAGAATGATTGATTTTGCTCATTTTATTTCTCATCGTTTCATTTTTATTACTAATAAATAAAACGTGAAAAATATGGAATATTTATAACTTAAAATACTTTCACCTTTCGCTTTTTTTTTACGTTTATGAATTCAATTATTTTTATGTCACATAAATTAATTTACTTTATTTAATTTAATTTATTTTAATTTTATTTTATTTTGTCTGATATATATACTTATATATTCAATTCTTCACGTGTAGGTTTTTTCCATTGAAATATTCTAATTATTTTTTTGCAATTATTATTTTTATTTTTATTATTGTATATTTGTTGTATATTTATTGTCTTCTTGAAAATAAGCATCCTGCCTAATAATAACTCGAGTACCTCGTCATAACTGACGTCCAATTTTCTAACTGTCAATTGTGCTGATTATCAACCATACTAGGTAGACAGTCTTTTGCTAGATCATAAACCTTTCACAATTCTATGGACGGTCTAACTTTCCATTTCGATACTATCGCACACCGTAAATTTCCGATCACCTGCTGTATCAGTCGTCCCGATAGTAACATCCAGGCGCTCCACGTAGACTCTTCATCATCATCTTCGTCCCTCATTATTATCCCTCACATATTCTCAGCGTTGATTTATGAACCGGGGATTGTCGGTAGAAGCGATATCAACGACCGGTGGTCCTGCGTTTCTTGCCTTCTATCAAATCACTGAAAGCAAATTTACCTTTTCTAAGATTCCATGGAGAAAATGAAAAAACTGAAAGTCGCAATAAAATAGGACATTTGATAAAAGATTAATTCGCGTTAATTTTAATATTTTGTTTAACAATATCTTTACTAAATGTAAGATAACCACGTCAGAGATTTCGGATATCTCTTTCTATCTCTATAAATTAATCGCACTCTATAATAAATGTATTATATCTTTACTATAGTATTATTTTTTAAAGTTACGTATATTATGAAAAATATAAATTATAATTATAATTATATATAAAAGAAAGATACACTTCTTACGCGAATGTGATTAAATGTTTTATGATAATTACATCTCAAAATTATTATAAAAATTATATCTTTTATCATTTCTTACATTTTTATATTGATTAAATTTTTTTTCGTTTTGATCGCCTTTTCTTATATTGTGAATTTGTATTTAAATTCTTGTATGTGTGGTACTGTAAAATTACATATTTATCTCAATCACGTAAATGCTTATTTATCAATCATTAATCGTAGGATATTTCACACACATACAATTTCTGATTCCGTAGCATCGAATATTAGCGGATCGGTATTTTCGTACCCGCCTACCGTCAAATCGAAAGCCATTTGCCCGTTGACGTTCCTAGTATTTCACATCTCCGAAGCTGTAATAGACCGGCAGGTAAAAGAGGCGTTCGACGATCGAATCACGATAAGAAAATCGGCAAGCATAAGTCGCTGTTCGCTAATCGTAGCTTTGCGAGGTGTATCACCCCAGTATCGTCTTCCGCATTTTACAAGCTGGGAGCGCATATCTTTGCCGATTGCATCTTCAATCGATATTTCCTACTCGCGCTATAACGTGCACATTATCACCCTCGATGATTAATTGACATGATAATAATCATTATTATAAATTTTTTCTAACATATAAAATGCATTTCATATTTGACATTAATAGTTTGATTAAAATGTTTGATGAAATTTTAATTGGCACATTTACTTTTTACTTATATATATATATATTTTTTTTTTTAGAAAAAAGATGGAAATAGTATA